CGGCTGTGTCTCAGCTGGACGGCGCGGTAGCCAAGTGGTTCCACTGCGTTTCCGGGTAACCAGAGGTGTAGGGTTTCGATTTCCCGCGGCGTCCGCCCTGCTTCGCTGACTGTCAGGATGACAGGCAAGCGACGTTATATGGCTGTAGCTGCAACGCGCGCCGTGGAACACCAATAATGACTGCTTTTTAGTTCAGGACCACCGAATGATGGAGGCAAGTTCTGCGAAGTAATTTACAGCCATAATGCTGAGAGGAGTTTGTGGGTACCTTTTAACCGGTGCGCTAGCATACAGACGTGCTTGGTTCCATGAGTGACTTTGTGTGGCGACTGCTTTCGATTTAGACATTTCCATGGGCTTGGTTGCTGGATGGAGGGATTGCCAGGTTTGTGACGAGTATGCTGCTGCTGCTGCTGCTGCTGCTGCTGCTGCTGCTGCTGATGATGATGATGATGATGATAGCGATGGCGAGGGAAGGATTTCAAGCCCGGAGTGGCGACCCACCTAGCGATCCGCAGTGTTGTGCCTAGCTGTAGTCGGTTTAATCCGCTTGATTCGGCAACTTACAACCGTGTGTTTACAGCCACACCCACCTGATCCTTAGCATCAAACTATGCAGCTCAGTTCACTCCACACACCTGAACAATTTGCAATTACAATAACAGTAGCAATACTGAACTGAAACTGAATGCTGAAATACTGAGCAATAGCAATACTGAAAAATTAGCAAAGACAAATAGCAAGAACAAAAAGCAAAAAACAACAATTAGCCTCTCGGCAGAGTCACGCTCTCTTCAGGGCGAGAAGCAAGCGACACCATACAGCCTACCTGTTGAAAGCGTCGCAAAACACCAATGACGTCAACATGGTACCGCGAAAGAGCCGGGCCGGGAGCCCAAGCTCACTTGAAATAACAGTAGGGCCTTGAGCGCCAAAGCTGGACATTTATGATAGCCTTGTTCGTCACATCCGCAGCATCCATGACAGTGTGGTGCCGAGAGGATTGCTGGGTGCTGCTGGCAAGCTGCCAACTCGTGAGAGCACCATCGCCCTCTTCCTGTGCCCTCGCTCCGCCCTTCGCCAGTAACTCTGCTCTTATTGGTCGTTGTTCGCGGGCGCCCAGTGCCGCTCGCCCTGCAGATAATGGGGTGGAAATGAAGACCGAGGTCCCCTGAGAGACGTCCGCACCCGGCTACCGGAACGTTTTGCGCCCATTGCCACAGGCATACGTGTGACCACTGAGATAGTGGAGTTCTCTAAAAATCGCTCAGCGTCGAGACATGCCTCTTATAATACAGCTGTGTAAGAGTACACATTTGAACGTGAACCAACAGAGAGGGTGTGGGCTATAATGGGGGAGCTCTCATAGACGGAAAATGAAATCTGGAGGTATTTAGCTAATAGGAAGCGAAGCTAATAGGAAGCGGAACCTCTCGCAAGCCTATAGTCCCCACTCAACACGTGACCATGCTGCCTGTTGAAAACTACCGGGTGCTCTGTGCATATCAGCATCCCCCGATGATCTCATGGATTTTTTGTCATTCGAACATTTCTTCATCTAAATACTTTTGTGGTATCATGAAGAGGCAAGCAAGCTCATTGGGCTCTGGTAATGCTGTCACCAGCGCTGGACCTCGGACCGGCGACCTTTGGCTAACACTGGTCTCTTATGGCACCCCGGGCGTGTCACCACCGTGACCCAATTACCTGCGATGGCACCCTGGCGAGCCGTCCCGGCGCCGCCATGGCGTGAGCCGGCGACATGGGACCGCTGACGTGCCAGACATGACGTGACACGTGGCGTGAGCGCGCCCATTTCGCGTCCGATGCGTGACAAGGGCGCCAGGCAAAGATTTCCCACGGGTGACGTTTTGTACACGGGGCGGGACGGGTGTCTTCTGTAGGTCGCGCGTGAGATGTTGTAATGATGAGAGGTGTTGTGGAGTGTAGGTTGTGTTGGAGATATTATATCGTTGAGAGGTCTGGGGAAGTGCAGGTCGCGCGTGAAATGCTTGTAACGTTGAGAGGTGTTGTGGAGTGTAGGTTGTGAGGGAGATGTTATAACGTTGAGAGGTCTGGGGAAGTGTAGGTCGCTTGTGAAATGCTGTAACGTTGAGAAATGCAGCAAAGTGTGCGGCGTTTGTGTGCTGCTGTGATGGTGAGAGGTGTTGTGAAGTGTAGGTTGTGTGGGCGGATATTATAACGTTACTTATATATATATATATATAACGTTATAACGCATAACGCTGATAGGTATAGTAATGTGCAGGGCGCGTGTGCAATAAGTCAATATTCCCGGTCTTTAAATTTGCTGTCGAAGCGTGCATGGAGGCAAAGTTCGGTCATGTGCACTTAGTCACGGTGAAATGAAATAGATGACTGAAATGAAATGAAACTGAATATATATATATATATATATATATATATATATATATATATATATATAACTGAAATGAAATGAAACACTCCTGCAAGATCAAATTCATGAACACACTTGAATCATATGACGAAAAATGACGTCGCTTGAGTGTTTTTCTTCGGATGCACCGTGACTATGAAGGTTATGAAAACGAACTATGATTTTAAATGCCATTCATTATGGCAGCCAATTTACCGCAGGGCGGGGGGGGGGGGGCAATGTCAAATTTTCTCCGAACTTCTGCGAATTGGGACTGAATACAGTGAACTTTTCCAGCGTCTAGTGCAAACTTCATTGCTCGGAGTGTGTGGGGGTGGAGGGGAGGGGGGGGGGGGGGGCGTGGCCCTGTGTCACCTGGTCGCTTGGCCACATTCCCGGCAGAACTTTTCCCGTTGCAAGTTTTTTTCCGACGCCGTGTGTTATTGGTGAGCGATTAGCGTATGGGCACCAGCAGTGCCTCTTTTTATGACAATATTAATTTTTATTTGTATTTTTTTATTGAAGGCGCGACCACGTGATAGTTGTTCTGCGTCGTCGTGCAAATAAAAAACACACACACAGTACACAGAGGCACACAAACGCACAGGTGAAAGCAGCTCTAGTCAATGAGTCAGCGATTTGACATTGTTCCAGTCAATGACTCAGTCAACAGTCAAGAATGCCCGGCGCGAGGGGGTGCGGACAGCTGCCGCAGGCAGGCAGTTCCACGCGGCGGCGGCGCGGCACTGAAAATGCCGCTGGGTGGCGGTCAGTCGGACGCGCGGCAGATGTAGCGAGCTATCACCGCCCGAAATAGGCCGTGTTTGACGTTGGGAGACTCAGTGCGCGTCACGAATGGAGCACACGGTGCACTGGTGAATTCGAGGCCTGCAGAGCTCTGTACACGTTCAGGCTGTCCCGGGTGGTGCACGTAGTCCACCACGCCACGCCAACCGAGTGCTTCCAGAACGGGTGAAATGTGATCACTGCGGCGGACACCTGTCAGTAGCCTGGCTGCGAAGTGCATCGCCCTTTCCATCCTGTCTAGGTGGCAGTAGAGGATGTGGGGGGAAGATGTGAATTCGGACGAAGTGCTTCAGAACCCCAGGAGTGAAGAAGTGTCGAATTTTGAACATGGATAGTAGGGTAGCATCACAGTGTCGAAAGAGTGAGGGGATGTGGGGTTTCCAGGTGAGACATACAGACCTGTTGTTGTTAAGCCGGCTGCAGATACGCTACAACCTATGGCTACTTTTGAATCTGTAATAACCACGTGGACGCGAGGCGGCCTTTTGGCGACACAAAGCCTAGCACTGTATTCCGCCTAGCTATCTTTGAACGCGAAACGTGCTTGTTGCAACAAATAATGCACACATTATTCGCCTGTAGGCATCAGCAGCTCACGCATGGTCATTGCTTGCCAGCACACAGTTCAGGCGTCCCTGACAGTCCATGGGGATGAATACCTGAGAAGTGCTTTATGTCACGTCATAGTGCATAGTTCATGCAGTTTGTCATCGAAAAAGCGATTGTACCGGGAGTTCGCGGCCGAAACCTTTGTCAACGACACCAGCGCCGCGCGGTCCCTGAACTTTGACGGTGGGACTGAACTTTGAAGGGCCGAATCATACATCACGTGACTCAAGAATGGTTCGTGCTCCGTTCCGGTACGGGCGGTAGCCGTTCTCGGATTCTCCATACTCGTGATGAGGCGCCTCTCACGTGTGTTTCCATTAGTGTGACGAGTCTTTTAACCCACTAGGAAGCACTTACCCAGTCCGCAGGGACGTACCATCGACCAGGGGGGGGGGGGGGGGGAGGGGGTACTCATGAGAGATTCGCGGCGCGTGCATTAGGGTTATTAAGCACGACATGATTTCCGCTGATTGGATTCAGTCGGGTAATGTGACTCCCTTAGAAGATTGTGTGGTTATTCATATACCCGAAGTAATGGCGGAAGAAGTCTGCGGTACATTGGGTCGATGACTCAGCGAGTTGGCCTTTGATGATGATCAACATGTAGCACCGTAACAATAAAAGGTATCAGTTACACCTGAACGTTCAGCAATGCGCTGTAACCTGAACGATGGTCTCAGTCAGGTCAGTGCTGAGAACCTCTCGAGATGAAAACGTGTTACAGGTCAGTCAGCTGACAGCGGAGGCGTGTTTTTTCGATGCAATTATTGTTCTTAAAGGGCAAACACTTCTTGTGATCCACCGCATTTCGGCCCGTCAAGCCACAATCAAATATATTTTGAATTGGAAAGTCACAGGCAAAATGTCAACGTATCCTCCTAGAAGTGAGCCCCGTGCGCTTTGTTATGGCGCACCCCCCTGTTTACATGCTCTGTGTTCCTGCATGCTGCCATGACGGTGTGTTCTATACTATGCCAGGGTCAGCTCCCAGTGTGCTCCGTAGCCGTGCTCTGACGGTGTGCTTATTCCCCACGCCGAGCGATCGCCAAACGGCTACCAGTGCTTTGACGTGATGCACGATGGTTCGCCACACTCTGCCTGCAGTGTGCTCTGCGCTCCATCAGAACCTTCCGACGGTGTGCACGGTGCTCTGGCGCAGTGCTCTGACAGTGTGCTCCTGCTTCAGGTTGGGTAGCGCCATGGAACTCCGTGTCAGCGTCCGGTCCCTGGTCCAGCAGCTGGTCCATGAGCAGGCCAAGGCCAGCGTCCACCTGGAGGTGAGGTTACGAGTCAGCAGGAGGGGCCATGAGGTCAAGAGGGGCCATGAGGTCAAGAGGGGACGCGGGGTTAGAATGGTTCATGGACTCAGGATGGGTCATGAGGAAAGGAGAGATCGGTTCTTTCTTATCAAATACATTAGAAATTTGCGGAGAAGGGCCACAGTGCCACCGTGCAGCTATATTTGTTACAACATTCATTCTGCAATCGAATGCTTGGGTGACTTTGGACCCAGCCGTGGATACCTGCCAGGCAAAGGCTGTTGCATACGCGCTGAATCCACCACCCAAGTTGTACCTGTTCAGTTCAGCGAATGATTTTGCCTTCGCCCTTTCGATAGACACAATCTATTTCACAGTCTAGCTAAGCCGTCTAAGGCAGACACAGTCTATCTAAACAGTTCACAGTCTATCGGACTGTGGACTGTTTCGCGTGCCGTGCAATGCCGCAGCACGGCCGCCCCGGGCCTGGGTTGACCCTCGGTGACCAGTTGCCAGATGACCTCTCCATGTCACTTGGGTCAAACGACGTGTCCGTCCGGGGCCTGTGCGCAGTGCCGCTGGATAGTGAGTCCAACATCTTTTCCCCAAACCACGGGGCGGCGGATGGTTGTGGTTACGATTATGGTTGTGGCCGGGGTCGAGCAGCGTTTGACGGAGGGGGTGCCGATGCTGTGCGTCTGGGAAATTGGAGCCACGGGTTCGACTCCCGCGGTGCCTGCCTTTCCTGCCGTGGTGAGAGGCTGGTGACGCCATAAAGCCTCAGCAACTGAGTGCGTCGTGAAGCTCGAATGACGACGACGTTTCGTTGCGGTGCTGACCATTGGCAACCCGGTCGCTGCGGTGCTGACCATTGGCAACCCGGTGCTCGAACAAAGCTGGGCACGTGCCATATCTCCGAAGTGACCCTGCGGCGGATTTACCCCCTTTGAGTGATATCCTGCGGCATATATAGCGAGGCATCAGCCAGCTGAACTGGCACCGGCGCGCTGTGGGGAAAGCGAGTGACGCGCGCGCTGAAGATAGCCATGGTGGCTTCACACTCTGGCTCGTAGAATGTGATGACACCGTCTGGCTGGTTGGATAGCTGCGCCTGCGAAGGGGCGAGTATTGTGTGTGAGCATGCGCGCGGACGTTGGTTGTGGCGGTCAGGACAGACATTGACAACTCACTGCGCTCGACACTGGGGAGCACGTTGGTTCGACTAGTCTGAAACTGTCTCTCCCTTATATGGCTGGCGATCGCGTGCGGTTTCCCCGTGTGATAACATACCAGGGGTGTTTACTTTCACTGAGTTTTGCTGCCCGTGGTGGATGTCTTGGACGTTCCCATCAAGTTTCACGCGGCTGTGATAGCTACAGAATGCCAGAGATAGTAGAAGTGTAGTCATTAGTAGGTAATCACAGCCGTGGTTTAAACGACCATTGCGTACTCAGGACTTCTTCTTTCAAGTCGGGCCGCGACTGGCTGGAAATGTTCGACTACAGATTGCTTCACGTTCTTTATCAATTGAAATGTATGATATCCGCTGGCCCCACGCCAGTGACGTCACGTGAATAGCTCACAAAAATTGGACGACATCGTCGTTACCAGATGTACGCGGACTCTCCGCCGTCCTGTTGCGTCCACTCCCCTTTCCATGAGCGGGGCGCCTCAGTTGCCAGGCCGCCCGGTTCCTTTCATGGTAACCTTGGTAACGCGGACGCCAACAACTGGGTGAAGGTCACCTTGCACGTTAGCCGGGCGATGCTGTGAGATGGGAAGGGAATGCTCTGTGATCTTTGACATAGGATGGTGGATGCGTGGCTGGTTGGAGCCCTGCGATTCTCGATTTTCAGGTTAGTCAGTGTGGTCTTTAGAGCGTAAGGCGTTGGCTTCCCTGCGAGCATGTGGGTGATCCCACAGGCACTTCGTAATTTAACTCCGCACGTTGAGGAGCATACCCATCAGTTGCGCGTTGTTGTAATTGGTTCTCTGAAGAACCAGCTCACCGCAAAATGATCAAAACCGCTGCCGATGCCTTGCGTTCTCTGCATGCGTGCGCAAAAAATTCGCGCGCAAATATGTGTGCGCTGTAGGCCCATTCCGCAAGTTTGCACGACTGCTGGCCGCGATCTGGAAACCTCCGCAAAGGGCCATTTTGGCTCCGACTGAACGCTTCTACCGACAGATCTGTTCGCCTTTCATCTGACAATATTAATTTCCGTTCACTGATAGCGATTCGCTTGACATCGGAGATGCGCATTTCGGCTGCGTCATTCTGAAAACGGGCGCTTATGTATGGAGCTCTAGCAAACACCGTTTGTGAACACGCTTGTGGGTTTGAGTTGAACTGCGCTTATTTGTTTGTACTGTTTACATTTCCAGTCACCCTATTTTTGTTTATTTTGTAGTGCTGACGTTGAAATAATGATCAGAAGTGAGAGTGGCATGCCGTCCGTATCCATGGCCATTATGATCGCGTTTGCATCAGGTTTGGCCCTTCTCCCACGCCATTTTAAAAAAAACTCAGCCGCGACATTTTCCCACGACTCGGCGTCGCACGAAGACCACACCTGCGCTCACACCGCTGATCATCGCCGCCGTCACCACGAATAAGTCCCGAAACCGTGATACCCATCGAATCCCTCCGAAACCGGCCGCGGCGCGGTCACGTGACCAGCCCAGCGCGCGGCGCCAGCTGCTGCGCGGTAACGGGGCCGTGCGACCGTTGTGATGCGGCCGGCCCGCTACCGGGCGGCTGCGCGTCATCCGCCGCGTCACGTGTCCGCTGCGGGGGCGTGCGGCCGGCGCCGTGGGAACCTGCTTCCGGTGTGGGCGGGTTCAGTCGACGCGGCGTCCTCCATGGGACGATACAGCCGACATGACTTCCGGTGCGGTGTGGTACAGTCAACATGACCTGCGTTGCGGTGCGGGACAATCAGCACTGACTTCTGGTGCGATGCGGTACAGTCAGCATAACTTCCGGTACGGTGCGGTATAGTCAGTACACCATCAGGTACTGGTAGGCAAGGTCAACACGCATCTTGTGAAGTACAGTCAATACACAGCCAGTACAGTCAGTGCACAGTCAGTGTAGTCGGTACAGTCGGTACAATCGATGCAGTCGGTGCACAGTCGGTATAGCCGATGCAGTCTGTACTGTCGATGCAGTCAGTACACCGTCGGTTTAGTCGGTACAGTCGCCACAGTCGCTACAGTCAGTGCACAGTCGGTATAGTCGGTGCAGTCGGTACAGTCGAAACAGTCCGTACACAGTCGGTACAGTCGGCACAGTCGGTACAGTCGAAACAGTCAGTACACAGCCGGGATAGTCGGTACGGTTGGTACAGTCAGTGCACGGTCGGTACAGTCGCTACAGTCGCTACAGTCAGTACACAGTCGGTATTGTCGCTACAGTCGCTACGGTCGGTACAGTCGTTTCAGTCTGTACAGTCGGTACAGTCGGTACAGTCGTTACAGTCGCTACAGTCAGTACGCAGTCGGTACATTCGGTACAGTCAGTATGGTCGCTATAGTCGCTACAGTCGGTACAGTCGTTGCAGTCGGTACAATCGCTACAGTCGCTTCAGTCAGTACACAGTCGGTACAGTCGCTACAGTCGGTGCAGTCGTTACGGTCGGCGCAGTCGGTACAGTCGGTACAGTCAGTACACAGTCGTCGGAACAGTCGCTACAGTCAGTACACAGTCGGTACAGTCTGCGTACCCTGTACAGATGACAGTCTGCACAGTCGGTACCCTGGGTCGGTACGGGCTGACCTCCCGTGCGGGTCGGCATGGCCGACGTGACCTCCGAGACGGATCGGCACAAGCGACAGGGGCGGCGATCGCCGGCGTTCTGTTCATTTCAATTCAGCGTCGCGGCGACACAGATACACGGGAGATGCGGCCCTGGGGCCGGGCTGGGTCGGACTAAGCCGGGCCCAAAGGTCATAGAACTCGCCTCAGGGCGGTAAAGTTCGGGTTGGCGGGCAAGTCGCACGAACTTTTGCAAAATTTGGAGTCGTGTGTGTGGTGCCGCGTGAAAATGCCAAACATGTGCGGTGCGTTTCAACTTTTCACCAGCGGCCAGGGATGTGGTTTTGCAAAATAGGTATGTGTTGAGGGCGGGGGGGGGGGGGGGCGGGAGATAGTTGGATACGTAAAAACCTGTCCTTTAAAAGGAGTGTTTCACATATGAAGACATTAAAGCAAGCATCAGGTATGATGAAACAAGCTCATTTATGACTTTTGGTGTACTTTTAAAAAGAAAAGACTGCTCTAGACAACACAATCTCTATTAATAAACACACTCCTCAATACGTCATTGTTTGATTGCGTCATTATACCTTGCCCAACATTGCTTGAGGGCCAATGTACGGCCGTTATTTCTGAAAATCGTGCTCACGAACGCCAGATATGAACGACTCGACCATTAGATTTTTCTCGTTTTTCATCGTCCCATGGCTTTTGGAATGACAGTATTTAAATGACGTCATGAATGCCAGGGTGACCGTGAAATACCTTCCCCGAAATACTCTCCCCATTTTCGGGGGCATGCAGTACAGAAACTAAGAGATTTAGGTCTTAAGGCAGGCAGAGCTGTGAACTGTACCGAAAGGTCTTCAAGATGGCTATTTCACTTCAAATCCCCACAGAAATGTGGAACACTCCCTGTAAAAGACGGTAGCAAGCGGGTTTCTGTCCAGGTTGGGTCTGGCACTTCCTTGACAAAGCTGGGGCTGGAGCCGAAGTGTGTGTGTGGGGGGGGGGGAGGGGGGGAGCAAGAGACCCAAATGAATAGAAAGCTCCTCCCCCGCCAGTGACGTAGGCCCTGGTGATGTTCATCACTTGAGTGATCACGGGCGACACCATGGACTCTAAGTTTGCGACTGGAACAGATAGGAAACTTATGATGGATTACCAGCAATTTTGGACCCTCATTGAGGAAGAAGGTAGGGGAGGGAAGGAAGCGACGGTACAGGTGTGTATGTTTGTATTCTCTGTTGTCCCACGCACTCACACGGCTCTCCTACATGTATGAAGACATGCATATCATGCATATATATATATATATATATATATATATATATATATATATATATATATATATATATATATTATATATAATATTTTATTATTATTATATATATATAATATATATATATCGACGGTGCAGCTATCGACGGTATCGACGGTGATTGCATATATATATATATATATATATATATATATATATATATATATATATATATATAAACAGTTTGGTGTGCTATGCTATGCATCAGTCTCCGCTGCGTTTCTCGTCATTTTGACCCGTAACGTCGATTTGTGCCGATGCTGAGGAATGTGTACTTTATATCTAAATTGAGCCGGCAGCCTTGGGTTTATTGTGGTAATTTGGACGGCTCAATTCCCGGACTCCTGGACCGTTACCGTCTTGATTGCGTCCAGAGATCGTGTCGGTGATGCCGCCATTCAGTCCCGATCTGGCCCTCTCTATCCACGGTCCATTACGCCCAGCGGTCATAGCGGCGGTGAACTGTTTTGCGTGCGTTTGGATTCCCCGTCATGGATCACCGCGCGCGACACGACCGCGTCTGGCCGCTGAGACGGCTGGGGTCACGGGGTCACGCCACCGCCCGCCGGCGGCGCCACTGCAGCCTGACACCGATGACCCCTGGCGCCTCCGGCGGTGGTCCGCCGGCGGGTCGGGCGTCAGATGTCTGGCGACCCGTCTCGGTAGATCAGCTCCGAAGGTTCGGAACTCGAGCCGCGTGAGCGAACACACCGCCTGCCGCGTGACGATTTTGTAGTTTGTGTTGCGGATCCGCAAGTAGCATTCATGCTACTCGCCGCAATACTTCAGATGCCTGCAGGTTCTGCCTTGGTGGATCTCGCGACATGAGTCTTCTCTAGCGGGTAAATGAAACATTTGTCTGCTTGGTCTGTTGGTTCTTAGGTCTGTTGTTAACAAATTAAAACAGTTAACTCGAATGATTTGCACTGGTTGCGTTAGGGTTCAACAAGCTGCTAGCTTCCTGAGCGGTGACCTTGCTTCTTATGCGTTGAAGCAAGGTCACAAGCTATGCCTAATCCAATTCACTGGGTGATATTCGCTACGAGACGAACGTCGAAGCCGCCCCCGCTCCCACCACAAACTCTGAACCGCTTGTGGCCCCACCGCCACAAGCCCTGAAGCCGCCTCTGCGCGGTCGGGGACCGCGACTCGATCAGCTTGACGCCGGCGTGCGGTCGGAGGCGTCACTCAATCCGGAGCGAGCCATCAGTCACGTGACCGCCGTGCGCGGACGGCGTGCGAACCGGCGCGCCCGCAACTGGGTCACGTGATGCGTCGGCCGGATCGCGGCCGCCGTCGCCGCCGGCGCCGTGACGGTCGTGACTGGCCACGTGACGTGACGGTCGCGGGCGTCGTGACTGGCGATGCAAGATTGTACGGGCGCGGCGCCGGAACCCGGCAGTGAGTTGGTACCGGCAGTACTCGAGCAGTACCTAGACTCGGACGCGGTGCCGAAACCCGGCAGTGAGTTGGTACCGGCGGTACTCGAGCGGTACCTGGACTGGCAGGGTCGGATCGTGACGGTGCAGGCCTCCTTGCTGGTTATCATGCATGCATTGTAATACAATGATGTCCTGGTTCGTACACTTGGCCGGTACTGGCGTCGCAGGCGCGGGGGGCGGCTGGGTGGGGGCCATATATGCATAGTGCTGCACCACGTGTGCTTAAAGCTAGCTATGTGTTTTTTAAGACTTATTGGAAAGAACGGAACTAATTCATTTAAAAACGCGTTTTTCCCGCAGCTTCTGTGACGCTGCCACACCCCCACGCGCGGGCGTATCCAGTCTTGTGATTTCTCGGCGTCTGGGGCCGAACGGCCGCCGCCGCGCGAAGCCCTGCCGCGGTGGCGGTCGGTAACGGCCTCGGGCCGCTACACCGGCGGGACTTGGCGCCCTAATTAGCGGCGCCGTGCAGTTGGCGCCGCGATGTGACGCCTTGCTCGGCGGTGTAACGGCGTTAGCGCTCATAGGGCGCCCCGCGGACCGCGGACCAGCTGCGGCGGAGGCGGCAGCGGGCCGGGGAACGTTAGCGCCTCGGTCGGCTGGTCTTGTGCGAACGCTGGATTTATGCTAAGGGTTAGCGGTGAGGCATCAACTTATCTTATCTAGACTCTTAAAGCTGGATAATTAGGATGTGCGCGTGTGTGTGTGTGTGTGTGTGTGTGTGTGTGTGTGTGTGTGTGTGTGTGTGTGTGTGTGTGTGTGTGTGTGTGTGTGTGTGTGCGTGCGTGCGTGCGTGCGTGCGTGTGCGTGTGTACGTGTGTACGTGCGTGCGCGCGCATGTGCGTGCATGCGTACGTGCGTGCGCGTGCGTGCGTGCGTGCGTGCGTGCGTGCGCCCGTGCGTACGTCATTGGAGCTTCACGACACACTCAGCTGCCGAGGCTATATGACAGCGTTTGCCTCTCACCGTAGCAGAAAGGGGGGTACCAAGGGGATTCGAGCTCCGTCCCTCCGGTTTCCCAGATGCGCAGCTTAACCACAACACTACCGGTATCGGTGTCAGTGCCGGATAATCACCATGTATGTTGCTACGTGTTGCCACGTGTATTATAAGAAAAACTACACAATTTTCACCTGAGGAGTGGGCCTAGTGTGCCGCCTCAGCCGCTGCACAGCATACACTGCATTCAGGTGGTGTGTATGTTGTGTTGGTGTCCGCGATGATGTCCAAATGCTCCAAATGGTGATGTCCAAATCATGATGTCCAAATGGGCGATGTCCAAACGTTTGTGTTTGTGGTGATGACCAAATGCAGATACTGCTCTGCCTAAGTGATGAAAATTTCTGAAAGGCGCTTACGAATTATGGCCACAGGGGTTTCGCCGGTGTCACAGAGGTCGCAGATTGTTCTCATGACTTTCTGCACCAGGTCATCGGCTTTCCCATGGCGTCCATAATCCGGTTATAGATGAGGCACGAACTCATGGCTCAAAAGCTGGATGCAGGCTTTCACGTAGCGGTGAGGGCCATCGCTAACGTCTGCTTCCTGTGTGAGATGAAACCGCGCTAGATATGAAACCCATCTGTTCGGAACTGATGTAATTAGTCGCTCTCACGAAGTGTTCAGGAGATTCCTGAGCCCCCGCCCCAAACCGAACGTGTCCATGACATTTATGGGTCAAGGGGAGAGGCGGTAGGAGCATCGTCAGTGAGAGAGGCTTACCTTACCGAAACCTTGCCCGCTCATGGAGCTAGCGAAGACCCGACCTGTTTAATTGCTTGGCGTCCGATTCAAGGGCATTCCTCCAGCAAGCACTACTCGCTGGCAATCTGCACAGGTGCCCACAACGGCATCCGGAAGCCCCCCTGGAAGATAGCCACGCGCAACAGATGCCAATCACCGACGAGTTTCTCCAGAAATCGACGTTTTTCTCGGCACACGTGCACCTGGCGCGTTCCTTCCGTCCCATATGCCACACTTATGAGCCACGCGCCGGCAGGGGGGCTGTGTCAGTAAAATCGGCCTCGATTTCATCAAGACTGCCAACTGACCGCATTGTAGGCCGCCTTCCACATGACAATTATTGATATCGTCGCAAATTGTCGGACTGTGCTCCTCGTAGGAGGGCTTCGATGTTGTCGGCGTGCGCCCAGCGGCGCCGCCAACGGCGCGCGCACAGCGGTGCCACCAACGGTGCGCGCCCAGCGAGGCCCGCTCAGTGTATTGATTTGAATTGCAGCTATGCAACAAGGCGCCGGAAAAGGGGGAGGGAGGGGGCATAACAGTGCAGCCGACTGCTGATCGTGCAGTCGTTGGCAAGGACCCAGGTGTGCACAAACTGCTGACTAGTGGCCCCCGGGACGATGCGAGGGCTTGATGTCCGTGGTGTGCTTTATTGAAGCGCTGTGTGGCAGCAGGCAAGAACGAAAGAGTCGGTCACCAACCGGTTGTCACCAACCGGTTGTCACCCGGTTACCAGTGAAGTCTGCTGTTGAACAGCGTGGACTTTTGAGCGGAAAGAGAACATCTCACGCTGCGGCGGATGCTAAGCGGGCGTGTTACGTGACTTCCGGTACGGACTTGGCCGATGTGACATCGCTGACTCAGAATGGATGTGTAACTCAGCACGCCGCGGAAACTGCCACGAGTCGCCCGTGGCGATTCACACTTGCCGCGGCTCGTCCCCCCTCGTTGTCAGCTCTGATAAAGCTTATCGCCGGTGGCGGTCCCCGCCCATCGATAGCGTGGTATTAGTTGAAAAGGCACTTGACCTGCAACGTTTGCGTGTGAACTGTACGTGCTCTCGGTGACGCTGCCGTTCTGCGTCGTTCGCGCCCACTGACGCCCTTCTTTGTTCGTTTCAGGGTTTGCAGCGTGACGTCACAACGCTGCTGGACTTCCGCGAGAGTGTGATGGACGACAGCCCCGCTCACCGGTCAACCCCTTGCCCCTCCCCCCGCCCAAACCTTCCCCACTGCTCCCCGGCTGTTCCTGTCCCTGTCTCGTCGCCTGCCCCGCGGCAGGCTGACCCCGTGACCTCGTCTGACCCGGGCGACACCGCGAGCAGCGGCACAAGCGGCCTGGGCACAAGCACCGGCGCCAGTGGCGTCACCTTGGAAACGGCAGGCAGCGGTGGCGCCGCCTGGCGGCCAGGTGTAAATCCCCGGCCGGACATCACCGGTTCAAGCCGGATCGGGTCGACCGGACGGCCGGCGGGGCCGAGTCACGAAGACGACGAGCTGCTGCAGCTGCTGGAGACGATCGAGACGCACGGGAGGCGCCTGCGCCGGCAGAACCGGCGCCTGGCGGCCGCCAGCGACGACGCCCGACTGTCCGACGCTGCCCGACTGCCCGACGCCGGGCAGCGCGAGCAGCGGACCGGAGCCGTGGCGGGAACGGGTGCGAGGCCGCGCTGCCGACATTGCGACCCCAGCGTCAGGCACGGCCGCGCCCACCCCTTCCCGGCCTCCGACCCAAACGTGGAGCCCGGACTCACGCCGCGTCTGGATCCGGGTCAGAATCCGACTCCAGATCCGGGTCGGAGGGTGACGCGGCGCGTGTTTGACGCTCGAAATCCGGATGTTCATCTGGCGCCCGCGCTGGACGGGTCGGCTGGTCTGCCGGATCCGCCGCCGCCGCCGCTGCTGCCCGGCCAGTCAGCCTTCCTGGCCGCCTGGCCACCCAACTGGGATAGGTGAGTGCCATGTGGTGACGTCTTGAGCCGTCACATAACAAGTGGCTCGATGCAGATAACCCAGCTAATATTTTACCGGAAAGTTCCGTGACCCGCCAGTGCTTCCCGTGTTTTAATTGGTGCGGTTTTGTGATGGGGTGCGGTTTTGTGATGGTAAATGATGGTGAAATGAGTTGAGCCGGGCGCATATTTGAGGTTCGTCCTTTTCATGCTGCACGGTAGGGGCTCTGTGCAGCTTCAAGGGCATGCCCCTCCCCCCATTTTCCTTGCTGATGTCGCATCCAACCTTTTCTTGCCACAGGCTGCATCTCCACGAGGGCGCTGCCGCTGCTGCCCCGCTCAGCCTGCCGACCATGGGCCGGCGTCAGGAGCGGCTGTCGGCGCTCACGCTCTCGGAGCGACTCCTGCAGGAGCGGGACCGACTGCTGGAGCAGCTGGCCGGCCTGGAACAGGTGAGGAGCACCACCTGCCGGCGCCGCGGAGAGGCTGGCCGTGCTGAAGGGCGCCTGAATTGGGTGTCTAATGGGGAAGGCTGGGTTGGCTGTCGGATCGCCGATGTCTCCTCGACTGAATGTCAGATGTCTCCCCGGCTGAATGTTAGATATTTTCTAGGTGGAGCATCGAGCAAGCGGTGTTTTGCCCGTCCCCTCAGAGTCATAGTGTTTGATTTGCGTTTCCCCGACATTTACTTGTTTCCCTGGCAAGAGTTCACGGACTGGTTATGTAAGCCGTTGAGCCGTGAGCTGTCAAGGGTGAACTGAAGCTTTTGGGTGCCCCCTTCCATCCGCATTCAAGTCGCATCCTTGTTCACCTGTAGCGCGCCTGGAACATACCCTCAAGCAGCCTTGAGTTCGGCGGTGATGTAAGTGGATATCCGTGGCAAACATCGTTTTCATTCGCCGCCAACAGGTGGCAGTGCGGTCGCAGCTCCACGCCGCCAGCCTGCAGACCCGACTGTACCGCGTGCTGGGGATCAATGACGCACTGGATCACGAACTACGGCTCGCCTACGGACACGATGTGACTTGCGCGGCTGCTGACCCCAGGTCACGGGGTCGCCTGACATCTCCTGCCGCGGGCAGAATGGCCAGGTCAACCCCTGACCTTCGACCGCCGTCCCGAATCCCGCAGCCGCTCTCGCTGAGGCGGCACGCGGTGCGGACGCCGGCCAGGTCACGCCCGGAGGTCAAGGGGTCAAGGTCGTCGGCCGCGACGGTGACCAGGGAGGCACGGACGGGGGACCACGGGTCTGAGCCCGACGCGGCAGTGGCGGATACACCACGCGTAGGGGATCAAGACGCAGCCGCGGGGCAGTCTTTCATGCGTGCAGGAGCTGCAGTATCAACCACCGGAACATCCACCACGTCCGTAGGGGTTTCTACCGCGTCGCTGGATCCCCCGACGGCGGCGTCAAAGACCGACGCGCAGTGCCAAGCGACACAAGATGGCAGCGCCGACCCAGTAAGCGCGGCAAGGCCGCCGGCTTCGTGGTCAGCTGCTGCAGCCGCGCGGCCGCCGGCCCGGCAGCGCGTGGTGGCCGTGCTGCGCGAGACGAGCCCTCTGAAGCTGCAGAAGGAGCTGCTGACGCTGCTGGTGGAGGCGGAGGTGAGGTGCCCTCAGGCCTCCCGCGCCCGCATGGCTTCCGGCCCGCGCCTTGGCTCCCTGTCCGCTCTGTGCGCGCGCTATTCTTGCTCATTTCAGTTACATTAGTTGTATTTTCTTCTGTCGCGTTCTTACGTTAGATCGTTATCCTAGATTGTTTTTATAAGCACATTATTTGTATTTTCCTTTCAGACTACTACGTTGTGTGCTGATTTGTTTGCTCAATTAACGATGCCTCATGTCGTTACCTATTTCGTTAACACCGGAGGTATTTTATTTCTGGCACGTGCTAGACTAGACTTGCTGACCAGCCGGCGTACTGAGCACGGACTTGCCTCCCGCCCGGCGTGCCAAACGGCCACCGTTGATTGGTCGCCGCTTACCCCACGCCCCGCCCGTGCAGGCGCTGCGTGCCGAGGTGGACTCGCTGGGTCGCCGCTGGACGGCGCGCACGTCTGCTGCAGGAAGTCAGGCGGAGCAGTCGATCTCTCAGGCGGACAACGACGAGCTCAGGCTGCAGGTGGGGCTGGTCAGGCGAAAGATCAGGCGTGCCAGGCTTGGTAATCGCGCCCGTGTTCGACCATGACTGAAAGCCCGCGGCAAAACACGGCCGCTCGGAGTTGTGGAGTGATTTACCGGATTCTTGGCAGTCGTGGAGTTATGCATAAGTTTCTGTCTCCAGGTACCAGTGTGTGCGAAGTGCTTAATTGATGAACGCAAGTCACGCTAGCTTGTTCTGTGATCATCTACGCCGTTTTCAAATAGCAAAATGCGGACAATGAAACCTGTAAAATGAGTTTGTCATATGTGTCGCGTCTTTGTTCCTCCTGGTTTGCGTTTTATTTGTTTGCGCGTTTTAACTATTTCGACGATGCTGTTAAGAGTTGGCGGCAAATCACCGGTGGTGTCTAACATTCCGACGCGTTTGTCCTCAGTTGGAAGTACGCAACATTGAGCTGGAGGGTACGCGAGCTCGGCTGCGCCAACTGGAGGCCGCTTGCGCTACCAAATGTGAGCCGAGTAGCTGCCAGATCAGGGGGTATTTCGTCACTTCAAGAAGGCATGGTCCAGTCCTGGCCTAACCCAAGTTCCGCCATCTCCAACGTCATACCACACCCCGTCGGCGACGTCTTACACCACAGCCCTGCTAGATCTGGCAACCGACCAGAACGGCCGGTCAGAGCCGTCAACCAGTCGGACAGTCTTAGGAGATCTGGAGCGCGCCTCAATGAATTATCAAAATCGGGTAGCCAGCTGGACGCGCATGCGGAAGCTCCTCGTCGCCAGTCAACCCGTGCTAGTAGATCTGGCAACTTACCAGAAACTGGGATGTATTTGGACGTAACGCCAGGCGCGCCTCGCAAGTCGGACCAGCCCGCGTCGTCCGCACATTCCGCCAAAACGTCCGCCGCGAACGCGCCCGGCGCGTCGGGCTCGCCGTCCAAACCCGGCAGGCGCCCCAACACGCCCACGCGGTCCAGCCGGACTTCCAGCGGCGCCAGCAGGCCGGGGAGCCGGGCGGAAACGCCTCTGGGCCGCCCTCACAGCCGGTCCAAGACACCAACGCGGCCCAGCAGCAGGACGGCCCTCTCCTCGACGCCTGGCAACTCGCTGCGCACGCTGAATGGGTCTGGCAATCAACCAAAGGCTCCCAACGCGCCTGCCAGCTCGCCAAAGCCAGGCAGCGGGTCTGGTAACGTCCCGAAGGCGGCCAACGGACCTGGCAACTCGTCTAAAACGAACAGCACATCTGGCAACTCAAGGCCCACTGCCGCGCCGGGAAGACGCGTGGCAGATGTCGTCAGAGGCTGGCCAGACGCGGTGTCAAATGATGTCAGATCGCGGCCGGCCACGGTCAACGCCGGCCGGGAAGCGGACAGGACCTCCGCCGGAGAGATTTCCGACCACAAGGAGAAGGTATGGAAAGCCGCTTTTCCGCCCAGCTCTTGAGGACGGATTAGAAGACGGTGCTGACTGCGCTATCCTGTATTTGTTCAGCTGACTTGTGGCAGGCGGCTGCGTCGCAGTGGTTGTTCTTTTTCTCACATGCATAGCCCGTGCTTTCTTAAATGTATGGAGGCTCACTGAGTTCTTATGCTGGGTTATTGACCTTTAGTTCACCAGGAGGTGCTGGTTAAACGACGTTATAGAGCACACATTGGTGTTGTTGACAGTAATCACCGTTTCAAGCTGTGCCTATGATCACAAGTGAAAAACTCGGTACTAATATCGAGTTTGTTCACGAGGAAACAAACCGGACATTTCAAGCCCAGCTTGGAACGTTGGGTGCTTGCTGTCAATGCAACCAGTATTTGCTCTATAACCTCGTTTAACCAGCACCTCCTGTTCAGTTGGAAGCCAATAATTCAGTATAGGAACTGTGAACAATTGTCCCGAAACAGCGTCTTTTTGTCTCTTTCGCCTGTTATTGTAGACATGCATTCCACCACCCTGCATATAATTGCATGCGTGTTACATCCCTGACCGCACCTTTGTTGATAGGGTTCCGCTACTGCTGAGGTTAAGTCTGCCTGTGGTTGTTTTTTTAGCCGCCGGTGGCGGAGTCCAAAAGGATAAGTAACCTTATCATATCAATCTGAGTAGCAAAACGTCCGCGGTTTTCACGAAGGGCTACTGCTTTACGTGTTCCAAGCTTGCGCAATACTGCGTGATTGTAAGAAGTACCTAAGCAGTCATATATAGGTACAAATATTCCTGCAACCTAAGTGAGTGGTTTGTATCCAGACATTAAGTTGAAACCTTTTTGGGCGTCATCGTTTAGGTAGGAGTTTTGAAACACTTCAGAATAAAGAAAAAGCACCGGAGCAGCCGCCTTCGAAATGGCAAGTATCGCAACCGCTTGCTCAACCGTGCATCATCACGCTGATTCCCCCTTCGCTTTCAGACGCGTCGCCGCATGCCTCTGGCTTCGGACACGTCCGCCAAGATTCCGGCCACCCAAAGCCAGGCGCTGGGGCAGATTCTGGCGGCGCTCAGTCGCGGCCGCAGTCCGCGCGCGCCCGTGCGTCGCACCGACGCCGCGCCGGAAGCACGACCGGAAGTACGGCCGGAAGTACGTGACTTCCGGTGTCCGGCGGATGTGCGGTGGTTGCGCGAGGCTACGGCGCAGCGGCTGCGGCAGGCGCGTCTCGAGACGTCAGACGGCGAGGTTGCCGACTCGCTGACCTCGGCCACCGCTTCGGAAGACGGCGGGGACGTTAGCCTGGAAGAACGGCTGAAGATGCTGGATGAGGGGTTGACGAGAGGCGGCGACGCATTCCGCTTCGGCGGCGCGCAAGACGGCGTCGTGCTGTCAGCCGGCGAGGGACTCATTCAGCGAATTCTGACCGGGCGCGGCGCGGCCGGACAGCGCGGCAAGCCCCGCCCCCCGACGGAATAGTGACCAATTAGCGACCGACCTTGTCGGCGTGGACCAATCGCCGCCACTGGTATCTTGTCCAGCCAGTAAGGCGTGCGCTCTAGACCAGTCACGGTGTTGATCTGAGCTGTGGTAGCCAATCCAGTCGCTCTACGGGCGTATCGTCCGCAGTTGTCCGAGTTTCGGGATCGATTGAGTCGGCACGTGCGGATGGTTGTTGAACCGATTCCAGAGATACTTGCCATGCATTTTTAACTTGGTGTTAATGCTGCTGGCTGAGTGCAATCGTATCGCCGTTGGGAAGTGGCTATTTTGATGCTGATTTATCTTGTTTGTAGTCTGCTAAAAGTCGCCCAGAAACGCGATAATTTGTTGTATGTTTGCTGATATTTTAAAACCATGTGCTATTGCCGCGTTTTTCGTGAGCTGGTAGTTGCACGTGCCTTCTTTGTCACATGATACTCCATTTCTGAGGTCTAATGGAATGCGCTTGCCGTGAAATCTGCGCCAAAGTACTATGCATTCGCCCGAATATTCCGACAGGTCTGTGGTGATTAAGAGTACGCTTGCATTTCCGTCAATGTGGGGCATGTAAAAGATAACCGTGGTCGTCACAAGTCATACTGGATGTGATCTGGAGTTATTGCTGACAGACGATGATTTATTTTTACCAGATATGAAGTTACCGGAGTTTCAGGTAGTCGGGGACAATCTCCTGATGTGCTGTTATTGCAGCACATACATGATTCTTGCGCCTTTAGTTTTGTGGTCAATTTAGGATCAACATACCAAGATTTTGAGCCTATCACTTTACATTGTTAAAAGCAAAGGGACATGGCGAGGATGCTTGAAAAACGGTAGCATTTACGATAAGAAGGCAGCTCCTTCGCCCGTCAATGCAGAAAAAGGGAGGGCCGACTGAGCGGCTCTCGTATTTCGTTGGGCTGTTGTTTGGTACAGTGGTCTGTTGCTGATCGGACAGCCGGGTTCACGCAAGTCCTGAATGACATCGGGCTAGTCAGCGTGCCAGATGAGCAGAGGTCAGTTGTCACGACCAGAAGTCATATGTCACGACCAGATGCCATGTGTCCGAGGTCATTGCCAGTCTGTGATACGGCTGGAAGAAATGGTTCCTGTTCCGGGTGCTTTGTGCGTTTGCGACTGCGTATATGTATGACGGTGCCTTCCAAATACATTCCAACTGTTTCGTGTGCGTGTTCATGTACTTTTTCGACGCGTGTTCCTGTTCGGCGGCTGTGGCGGCAGCCTCTCACATGGGATTTGGCGGTGAGCAGGAAGCTGTACCGGAAACGAGTCTCAAACCCTGACAAGCGATGTTATGTTCCGCGATGACACACGCGCCGACACCCTCCCCCGCTGGCCCTCCGGATGATTATCGTGGATGGAATCATTGCTCGGATTGTCACCTTTGTCCGCATACGTCTTCGTCTACGTCGTCTTCGTAGTATGTACACAATATTTCGGCCGTCACACAGTGTTACTGAGTTCTGCGGACTGAGTGACGCTTGGCTTTTAGCCACGGACGCGTCACAACCCGAACTTTCTCTCTGGAATGGCTGGGATTCGAACCAGAGTCTTCTGATCGCGAGTCTAGCGCTCTACCAACTGAGTTAACTGACAAGGACCGGGAACTATACCAGCTGCTAACTTGTGATGGGCGAGCCAGTTATGTTCCAGTGTATCCCGACTCGCAGGGTGTATCACGTCGCGAGAACATCTGTTTTCCACCCTCGGCAGGTCGCGAGAGAGGAGAACGTTCGTCGAACAGCTGTCCCTTTAGGTTTGAACACAGGCAAGGACACTTCTTTGGGGCGAGAAGAGCATACCTTTAACCCGGACTGGCTAGAACATGGTTTCTAAAGCATTACTCTATGTCGATCCGCTTCGTTGCGATAACTAACTACAAAACGCGGTTCGGAGGTGAGGTCATGCAAAGTCAAGCTGGGTCAAATGTGTTACGTGGATGAGATTCGTGAGTTACCTTACCGTGGTCGCGGGGCATACGGTGACATGTGACTTGGTAAATCAGCTAGGAACTGTCAACCATTACGCTGTAGTTTTCTCAGATCATGTAACTTAACTCGACAATTTTTGTCCAGTCGTTCAGTTCACCACGAGCCACTGGCTGACCATCTCGAATCAGAAGGCGACGGCGAAGCAAAGACACGATTTATTGAACGCGCCATATATTTCGCTATGTTGGTGATGCACCGCACCGCGCCCACTCAGATCACTCCACAAGGTCGACAGATGTCCCCAGCCCCACACCTGTGAAACCTCACGAGCAGCAGCACGGCAGAACCAGCCGATCGGCGGCCAGAGGCCGGCTTCCGGTGACATATTCGACCAATCAGCGGCTGAAGGCTGGGTTACGTCACCATCAGACCGCTCGCCGGCCCCAGCGCTAGTTATTCCTAGTTTGGTGCAGAATTGGTGGCTTCGTCTCTATGAGTTCTATATATGTGCAGAAAGACGTGCAACAGAGCAAGAGTGGTAAATCGTGCCATATCATTTCCCTCCCCATGCGTTCTTCACGCTCGCTCGTCATGACGCTGTCAGAAAACCGTCAAACACTTCGTCGGTTTTTGTTTGCCATTTCTGTGAATCAAGCGTACTTAACACGGGCATCTGATCTGCATTCCTCTCCATCTTCTGCTTACATTCGCTTACACGGTCCCAGAAAACACTACCAAGGTCATGGCGGCAGCCCCACCACGTGCTTAATATGGACTGCAAGCCACATGCGCCATATGCTGAAAGGCAAACGGCTTAGAAAAACGCTCAAGAGAACTGAAAGCGTCGAGAGAAACCCCCTGTCTTCATCATTCTTTTCCTGAATATGTTGTTAATGTGGCGTTAACGCCCTCCGCACCAGCATTATCACCCCCTCATTGGTCCACAAAGTGGAGTTCGAGTTTGACCTGTTCCCTTTCGTACTCCCAATGACTCCAGCTGGATTCAGCCTAATCTGACAGCGTGACGTTGGAAGTGCCTCCGTTGGATCCACCCTGCCATCAGAAGTGTGCCCCCTGGATCCGCTCCCTCGTCAGGAGCGCTTATCCTCGATCTCCTGCCACCCAAAACTCTGCCTCCTGGACTCCTGCCATCACGAGTGTCCCTCCCGGACTCCTGCCACCACGGATGCCTCTCCTGGGCCCGTCATAAGGGGGCCTCTCCTGGCTAGAAGTCGCCGTCGATGGATCCTTCGGGACTCTCCAAGCCGACCTCCTCGTAATCCTTCTCCAGGGCGGCCAGGTCTTCGCGTGCCTCGGCGAACTCGCCTTCCTCCATGCCCTCGCCTACGTACCTGGCGAAGACGAAAGATGTGTGAGAAGAGGGCATCCGCAAACGCGAGTGGAAGCACGAGGAAGACGTGGCAGACGTGGCAGATGGTGTGCATTTTGCTGATGGTGGAGTGTTCAGAGGCACAAACATCTTTGAGTGTTACATTCAGCTTTGAATCAGGATTTTGAGCGCTCCGCATCTTCACTTCGCTCTTAAGATTATTAAGATTACGTTCATGTGCCAGCGCTGCTGATGCATGCATTCTGAGAAAACTACGGAGCTTTGGCGGATCAAACGAAACAATCATGATCACCACGCAAACATTTTCATCCTACAAAATAGCACATGTTGGAGAATTGCTCAAGGCTACGGAGAACTGTGCCTGCAGTAAGCAGCTCTTACCTTATAGGAAATTACTTTGTTTATTTGGCAGCAGCTCCGCACTTCGAGAGGACCCCATCGCACAAACTCCCAAATGTCGTGACAACACCGAACGGCGCTCACCACCGCACGAACACTCCCTTGTCCTCCGAACCGCTGGGCTCCCTGGGCTCTCACCCGATGCCATGCTGCGCTCACCAGTGCACGAAGGCCCGCTTGGCGTACATCAGGTCGAACTTGTGGTTGAGGCGTGCCCAGGCCTCGGCGATGGCGGTGGTGTTGGAGAGCATGCAGACGGCTCGCTGCACCTTGGCCAGGTCGCCGCCGGGCACCACCGTCGGCGGCTGGTAGTTGATGCCCACCTGGTGGTTAGGGGGAAGGTGTTGCTGCACGCATATTCTGCGTCGGTGAGGAGAATGCACTGTGGCAGCTTTGAAATTGGTTGATCCGCTGTCGTTGAATGTTGGTCTAGCGTGCAGGTGATCGCTACGGCTGATGTGTCACAGCGACCTTTCCAAGCGTTTTTTTTTAACTCTCGACGGCCTTTCATGCATATCGCGAGATTCCTTGAGATGACAGTAAGCAGAGGAACCGATGCCAGGACTGAAGAGCCAAGATCACTGACTGAGACTGACTGACTGAGACTGAGATACCAAGACATTCATCCATTGTCTGTCGTTCGCACAAGCACGCTACCTTGAAGCCGGTGGGGCACCAGTCGACAAACTGGATGGTGCGCTTCGTCTTGATGGTGGCGATCGCTGAGTTGACGTCCTTGGGCACGACGTCGCCGCGGTAGAGCAGGCAGCAGGCCATGTACTTGCCCTTCCTTGGGTCGCACTGCAATCATCCGGACGGATGGGGGCGGGGAGGGGGTTTCATTGCTGGCCCGATGGAGTTCGGGTTGCATGTGGGTTCGGGTTCATACACGACCGCGATGCATGTGAGTGCTGAGGTAGCATGGATAGGTTTCATCTCTGAACTTTGGTTTCAAATAATGCTTGGTTGTTATCGCAGAAGAAAACTCAAAAATTTATTCTTTGTTGTTCGACGAAGTAGGCGAGCAGTTCGAACCGATCTCGACTTAATGCTGGCTGGATAATGCGATAGCCCACACCGGTAGCGGCGCTCATGAGTTTCCCAGCTACCTTATCGACCTCTGACCTCTCTCTGATCCCTGACTCGCTCAAACCTCGACCTCGGCTCAATCCGCGCCTCCTCTTTGACTCTCGATCTCATCCAACCGGTGACTCTGCCTTGTCGCACGATTCCCCTTCCCCCTTCCCCACCCCTGACTCGCCATCTCCCTCTCGCTCTGCCACCTCACCTTGACCATCTGGTTGGCGGGTTCGAAGCAGGCGTTGGTGATCTCGGCGACCGAGAGCTGCTCGTGCTTGGCGCGGTCGGAAGACAGCACCGGCGCGTACGTCACCAGCGGGTAGTGGATCCGAGGGTACGGCACTAGGTTCGTCTGTGGACAAACGCGCGCTGGTGACGTGGCGGCAGCAGGGACCGCGGCAGGCTGTGTGGAGAACCCGGGGCGGGCTCGCAAATCAACGCCGTGACCAAAAGCTCGGAGGAGGTGTAGGAGTCTCCTGGCGATCTTCGGAGGGTAACGAAGAAATTTTAGGGAAACGTAGGTTTAACTCCCCTTTCTTATGATGCTGCTTTCCGTTCATTTTCGAGGATGGCATGAACGCGCAACCAACACAATCACGAACCAAAGACGTCAACATTATAGCAACGAGCACCTCTTGTGAAAGATTTAATGCTTACCAGCGCATAAAAGATGAGCAAACAACTAGCATGGGTTTAATAGAAGAGCGTTAGACCACCCCAGCCCACGAGTGACTCTCCAATGATCCCACTCAGCCACGTCTTGTAAAGCTCTCAGCTCTCCGCTTTGCCCACAAGTGTGCATGATGCCACACACAAGCGACATCAAACGCAGTCGCGCACAATTCACAGCCAAATCGCGCACTCACGGACAACCTAAGAGGGGCGGCGTAGTCCCCAGGTGGCCCCTCAAACACCACCTTGTCCTTTACCGACCTGGAACTCGGTCAGGTCGACGTTGAGGGCGCCGTCGAAGCGGAGCGAGGCGGTGATGGAGGAGACGATCTGGCCGATCAGCCGGTTCAGGTTTCGTGTAGGACGGACGGGCGATGCTGAGGTTGCGTCGGCAGATGTCGTAGATGGCCTCGTTGTCGACCATGAAGGCGCAGTCCGAGTGCTCCATGGTCGTGTGCGTGGTCAGAATGGAATTGTAGGGCTCGACCACGGCTGTCGACACCTGGCGGACGGAAGTGAAACTTGCAGTTGACGGGCTGCCGCAAGGCGTCCTGCGCAGTGGACGAGATGAACCGATGGCGCTTTAGAGTTTAAAGCGTCAGCTGCTTAGCTAGATAGCGTCCATTATGCTGTCTGATAATCAAGTCAAACAAATCAAAGAAGCTAGTTTAAACAAAAGAGTAGGTCCCAGGAAGCGCACAACTTGAAGATGAACGCCCTACACTTTTG